CATCGGTACAGTATTCACAACTGTGGTGTAGCCGTGACATAGATACAGCAGGTACAACTGTAGTGTAGCCGTGACATAGATACAGCAGGTACAACTGTAGTGTAGCCGTGACATAGATACAGCAGGTACAACTGTAGTGTAGCCTTGACATAGATACAGCAGGTACAACTGTAGTGTAGCCGTGACATAGATACAGCAGGTACAACTGTAGTGTAGCCGTGACATCGGTACAGTATTCACAACTGTAGTGTAGCCGTGACATAGATACAGCAGGTACAACTGTAGCGTAGCCTTGACATAGATACAGCAGGTACAACTGTAGTGTAGCCTTGACATAGATACAGCAGGTACAACTGTAGTGTAGCCGTGACATAGATACAGCAGGTACAACTGTAGCGTAGCCTTGACATAGATACAGCAGGTACAACTGTAGTGTAGCCGTGACATCGGTACAGTATTCACAACTGTAGTGTAGCCTTGACATAGATACAGCAGGTACAACTGTAGCGTAGCCTTGACATAGATACAGCAGGTACAACTGTAGTGTAGCCTTGACATAGATACAGCAGGTACAACTGTAGTGTAGCCGTGAAATAGGTACAGCTGTGGCGAAGCCTTGATGTATACACAGCATGTACAACTGTAGTGTAAGATGTGACATAGATACAGCAGGTACAACTGTAGCGAAGCCGTGACGTATATGCGGCATGTACAACTGTAGTGTAGCCGTGACATAGATACAGCAGGTACAACTGTAGTGTAGCCGTGACATAGATACAGCATGTGCAACTGTAGTGTAGCCGTGACATAGATACAGTAGGTACAGCTGTAGTGTAGCTGTGACATAGGTACAGCTGTAGTGTAACCGTGACATAGATACAGCATGTGCAACTGTAGCGTAGCCGTGACAAAGATACAGCATGTACAACTGTAGTGTAACCGTGACATAGATACAGCAGGTACAACTGTAGCGTAGCCTTGACATAGATACAGCAGGTACAACTGTAGTGTAGCCGTGACATAGGTACAGCAGGTACAACTGTAGTGTAGCCGTGACATAGATACAGCAGGTACAACTGTAGTGTAGCTGTGACATCGGTACAGTATTCACAACTGTGGTGTACCCGTGACATAGATACAGCAGGTACAACTGTAGTGTAGCCTTGACATAGATACAGCAGGTACAACTGTAGCGTAGCCTTGACATAGATACAGCAGGTACAACTGTAGCGTAGCCTTGACATAGATACAGCAGGTACAACTGTAGCGTAGCCGTGACATCGGTACAGTATTCACAACTGTGGTGTAGCCTTGACATAGATACAGCAGGTACAACTGTAGCGTAGCCTTGACATAGATACAGCAGGTACAACTGTAGTGTAGCCGTGACATAGATACAGCAGGTACAACTGTAGTGTAGCCGTGACATCGGTACAGTATTCACAACTGTGGTGTAGCCGTAACATAGATACAGCAGGTACAACTGTAGCGTAGCCTTGACATAGATACAGCAGGTACAACTGTAGTGTAGCCTTGACATAGATACAGCAGGTACAACTGTAGTGTAGCCGTGACATAGGTACAGCAGGTACAACTGTAGTGTAGCCTTGACATCGGTACAGTATTCACAACTGTGGTGTAGCCGTGACATAGATACAGCAGGTACAACTGTAGTGTAGCCGTGACATAGGTACAGCAGGTACAACTGTAGTGTAGCCTTGACATAGATACAGCAGGTACAACTGTAGTGTAGCCGTGACATAGGTACAGCAGGTACAACTGTAGTGTAGCCGTGACATCGGTACAGTATTCACAACTGTGGTGTAGCCGTGACATAGATACAGCAGGTACAACTGTAGCGTAGCCTTGACATAGATACAGCAGGTACAACTGTAGTGTAGCCTTGACATAGATACAGCAGGTACAACTGTAGTGTAGCCGTGACATAGATACAGCAGGTACAACTGTAGTGTAGCCGTGACATAGGTACAGCAGGTACAACTGTAGTGTAGCCGTGACATAGATACAGCAGGTACAACTGTAGTGTAGCCGTGACATAGATACAGTAGGTACAACTGTAGTGTAGCCGTGACATCGGTACAGTATTCACAACTGTGGTGTAGCCGTGACATAGATACAGCAGGTACAACTGTAGTGTAGCCGTGACATAGATACAGCAGGTACAACTGTAGTGTAGCCGTGACATAGATACAGCAGGTACAACTGTAGTGTAGCCTTGACATAGATACAGCAGGTACAACTGTAGTGTAGCCGTGACATAGATACAGCAGGTACAACTGTAGTGTAGCCGTGACATCGGTACAGTATTCACAACTGTAGTGTAGCCGTGACATAGATACAGCAGGTACAACTGTAGCGTAGCCTTGACATAGATACAGCAGGTACAACTGTAGTGTAGCCTTGACATAGATACAGCAGGTACAACTGTAGTGTAGCCGTGACATAGATACAGCAGGTACAACTGTAGCGTAGCCTTGACATAGATACAGCAGGTACAACTGTAGTGTAGCCGTGACATCGGTACAGTATTCACAACTGTAGTGTAGCCTTGACATAGATACAGCAGGTACAACTGTAGCGTAGCCTTGACATAGATACAGCAGGTACAACTGTAGTGTAGCCTTGACATAGATACAGCAGGTACAACTGTAGTGTAGCCGTGAAATAGGTACAGCTGTGGCGAAGCCTTGATGTATACACAGCATGTACAACTGTAGTGTAAGATGTGACATAGATACAGCAGGTACAACTGTAGCGAAGCCGTGACGTATATGCGGCATGTACAACTGTAGTGTAGCCGTGACATAGATACAGCATGTACAACTGTAGTGTAGCCGTGACATAGATACAGCATGTGCAACTGTAGTGTAGCCGTGACATAGATACAGTAGGTACAGCTGTAGTGTAGCTGTGACATAGGTACAGCTGTAGTGTAACCGTGACATAGATACAGCATGTGCAACTGTAGCGTAGCCGTGACATAGATACAGCATGTACAACTGTAGTGTAACCGTGACATAGATACAGCATGTACAGCTGTAGTGTAACCGTGACATAGATACAGCATGTACAGCTGTACTGTAGCTGCGACATAGATACAGCATGTACAACTGTAGTGTAGCCGTAACATAGATACAGCATGTACAGCTGTACTGTAGCCGCGACATAGATACAGCATGTACAACTGTAGTGTAGCCGTGACATAGATACAGCTGGTACAGCTAAACTGTAACCGTGACATAGATACAGCATGTACAGCTGTACTGTAGCCGCGACATAGATACAGCATGGACAAATGCAGTGTAGCCGTGAAATAGGTACAGCTTTGGCGAAGCCTTGATGTATACACAGCATGTACAACTGTAGTGTAAGATGTGACATAGATACAGCAGGTACAACTGTAGCGAAGCCGTGACGTATATGCGGCATGTACAACTGTAGTGTAGCCGTGACATAGATACAGCATGTACAACTGTAGTGTAGCCGTGACATAGATACAGCATGTGCAACTGTAGTGTAGCCGTGACATAGATACAGTAGGTACAGCTGTAGTGTAGCTGTGACATAGGTACAGCTGTAGTGTAACCGTGACATAGATACAGCATGTGCAACTGTAGCGTAGCCGTGACAAAGATACAGCATGTACAACTGTAGTGTAACCGTGACATAGATACAGCATGTACAGCTGTAGTGTAACCGTGACATAGATAGAGCATGTACAGCTGTACTGTAGCCGCGACATAGATACAGCATGTACAACTGTAGTGTAGCCGTGACATAGATACAGCTGGTACAGCTAAACTGTAACCGTGACATAGATACAGCATGTACAGCTGTACTGTAGCCGCGACATAGATACAGCATGGACAAATGCAGTGTAACCGTGACATTGATGCAGCATGTACAGCTGTAGCGTACCCGTAACATAGACACAGCAGGTACAACTGTAGTGTAGCCGTGACATAGGTACAGCATGTACAACTGTAGTGTAGCCGTGACAAAGATATAGCAGGTACAACTGGAGCGTAGCCGTGAAATAGGTACAACTGTGGCGAAGCCTTGACGTATACAGCATGTACAACTGTAGTGTAAGATGTGACATAGATACAGCAGGTACAAATGTAGCGAAGCCGTGACGTATATACAGCATGTACAACTGTAGTGTAGCCGTGACATAGATACAGCATGTACAGCTGTAGTGTAACCGTGACATAGATACAGCAGATACAACTGTAGTGTAACCGTGACAAAGATATAGCAGGTACAGCTGTAGTGTAACCGTGACATAGATACAGCATGTACAACTGTAGTGTAGCCGTGACATAGATACAGCTGTAGTGTAGCCGTGATATAGATACAGCATGTACAACTGTAGTGTAGCCGTGACATACATACAGCTGTAGTGTAGCCGTGATATAGATACAGCATGTACAACTGTAGCGTAGCCGTGACATAGATACAGCATGTACAGCTGTATGTAACCGTGACATAGATACAGCATGTATAACTGTAGTGTAGCCGTGACATAGATACAGCAGGTACAACTGTAGTGTAGCCGTGACATAGATACAGCAGGTACAGCTGTAGTGTAGCCGTGACATAGATACAGCATGTACAACTGTAGTGTAGCCGTGACATACATACAGCTGTAGTGTAGCCTTGATATAGATACAGCATGTACAACTGTAGCGTAGCCCTGACATAGATACTGCATGTACAGCTGTATGTAACCGTGACATAGATACAGCATGTATAACTGTAGTGGAGCCGTGACATAGATACAGCAGGTACAACTGTAGTGTAGCCGTGACATAGATACAGCAGGTACAGCTGTAGTGTAGCCGTGACATAGATACAGCATGTGCAACTGTAGCGTAGCCGTGACATAGATACGGCATGTACAACTGTAGTGTAGCTGTGACAAAGATATAGAAGGTACAACTGTAGCGTAGCTGTGAAATAGGTACAACTGTGGCGAAGCCTTGACGTATACACAGCATGTACAACTGTAGTGTAGACGTGACATAGATACAACAGGTACAACTGTAGCGAAGCCGTGACAAAAGTACAGTATGCACAAATGTAGCATTTCCGTGGCATAGGTACAGTATGTACAGCTGTTGTGTAGTGTACACTTGTGGATACTGTTAATAATTGCAACTGTTGGTACCGCGGTGACATACAAATGTGTATACTGTCAATAATTGCAGCTGTTGGTACCGCGGTGACATACAATTGTGGATACTGTCAATACCTGCAGCTGTTGGTACCGCAGTGACATACAAATGTGGTTACTGTCAATAATTGCAATTGTTGGTTGCGGTGACATACAAAAATGGACACTGTCAATAACTGCAACTGTTGGTACAATGGTGACATATACATGTGGATACTGTCAATAATTGCAACTGATGGTACCGCGGTGACGTACAAAAATGGATACTGTCAATCATTGCAACTGTTGGTACTGTGGTGACATACAATTGTGGATACTGTCAATAATTGCAGCTGTTGGTACCGCGGTGACATACAATTGTGGATACTGTCAATAACTGCAACTGTTAAGGTTGGCAACATTTACTTCACTTTGCTTGTTGACACAGGTAGTCAGGTGACCTTACTTTCCCCAGCCGCAAGCAAGCGCTTGCCATCTTCAGTAGCTGTCAACTCAATTGACATGGTTCTGGAGGCTGTTAATGGGAGCTTATTCCAAGCACATGGAATATTCAAAGCACCTGTTCACATTAGTGATTACATGAACCCCACTGTGGAGGAATTCCTGGTTGCAGAGGTTGATAATTCCCATGATTGTGATGGCATTCTGGGTATAGATGTACTGGATAGACTGGAGGGTCTGATCGACATCCCTGGGTCAAGGATCTGGTTGATGGGCAGGTGGTTACCAACTGTGAGAGCTGAAACAACTGTCATCGTTGCAGATGATGTCTCTTTGCCCCCCCAGTCTGTATCTTTTATCCAAGTGAGCTTGCCTCAACTTTATCGGGAACGGTCCTCGATTCTGATAGAACCCTGCAAGGAGATTTTATTCACACATGGTATAATCATGGGAAATTCAGTAGTCACAAATAGTAATAAGGCAGCTACAGTTAAGGTTATCAATGTTCTTCATACCAAATACACGTTAGCTAAGGGAAGAATTATTGGTCAGTGTCAGTGTGTCAATGTAGTACCAGATAGGCAAATAAAGAAAGTATCACGAGTAAATGTTAAAAACTCGAAGGTGCCTGATCATTTAACAGATTTATTTGATCGCAGTAAAACAAACCTCAGCTCTGAGCAGCAGGATGAGCTGAGAGATCTCCTGTACTCATACAGAGATACATTCGCAAAAGATGATGATGATCTTGGTCGAACTAACCTTGTTAAACACCGCATCAATACTGGTGATGCGAGACCTATCAAACAGGCTCCACGTCGTCAGACGCTGGCGAGGCAAGAGGCGGAGGAGAAAGAAGTGGCTCGAATGTTAGAGCAAGGTGTAATCAGTCCCTCGAATAGTCCTTGGGCTTCCCCGACAGTTCTTGTGCAACGCAAGGATGGCCGTTGGAGATATTGTTGTGATTTTAGGCTCGTAAATGAGGTTTCTCGGAAAGATTCCTACCCCCTACCTCGCATTGCAGACTGTATTGACAGTCTGGGTGGTGCCAAAATGTTCTGCACAATGGATTGCAAGCAGGATACTGGCAGGTAGAAATGGATCCTCGTGATCGAGAGAAAACAGCCTTTGTCACACGTTACGGACTGTTTGAGTGGAATGTCATGCCCTTCGGCCTATGTAACGCCCCAAGTGTGTTCGAGAGACTTATGGAAATGGTGCTTAGAGGTCTCCAGTGGAATGAGTGTCTGTGTTTCCTGGATGACATCATTGTCTTCGGAACTACTTTCGAAGAAACAATGTTCTCGCTTCAATCAGTTTTCGACCGTCTGACCTCAGCTGACCTGAAATTAAAGCCTAAAAAATGTCACCTTTTTAAAGAGAGAGTCGATTTCTTAGGCCATGTTATTTCGGCTGATGGTGTTCACACCCAGCCAGAGAAAATAGAGGCAGTAAGATGTTGGCCTACCCCAAAGTCTCGAAAGGAGATACTACAGTTTTTGGGTCTGGCTAACTACTATCGGAAATTCATAAAAGATTTCTCTAAAATTGCCAGACCACACTGACCAAACTTACCAGTCCATTGGTTGATTTTCTTTGGACTGAGGAGACTGATCGAGCTTTCATCAGCCTGAACGAAGCACTTACCTCAGCACCAGTTCTCGGGTTTCCAAGGCATGAAGGTGAGATAACTGTTGACACAGATGCATCCGGTTAAGGTATAGGTGCAGTCCTGTCACAAAATCAAGTTGGCAGAAAAGAATTACTGTGTCACCCGTCAAGAATTGCTGGCAGTAGTAACTGCATGTCGCCATTGGCATCCATATGTCTTTGGTAGGCCTGTCACTATGAGAACTGACAACTTTGCAGTGGTCTGGGCAAAAAGAATTTAGAGGCCTGTCAACCAGATGGCTCGCTGGCTACAAGAGCTAGGCAACTATGATTTGACCGAGGTACACCGGCCAGGCCGAGTGCTTTGGAATGCTGATGCACTAAGTCGCAGACCTCAGGCACCCTGTCCCCAATGTAAGAGGGAGAGTGGACCTTGCAGCATAGGGTTGGTCGAGTCGAATCCTAGTTGTTATGCCATCACCAGATCACAAACTGCCAAACAGGATAAAGATACCTCCTGTTCCAGCTCAAACCAATTGGGTAGAGTTGAGGAAAATTCCTTCAGTCCTGAGGAGATTCACGACCTGCAGCTTCAAGATCCCAATATCAGCCTAATATACAAGGCTAGAGATCAAAATACCCGACCTGAATGGGAAACTGTTTCAGGATATTCTGAGGCATGCAAAGCGCTGTGGGGTCAGTTTCATCGACTGTCGGTAAGGCAGGGTATCTTACACAGAAGATAGGAGAGTCAGGATGGAAAGGATTGGCATTGGCAGATAGTTGTACCATCCATCAAGCGGTGAATTATCCTCAAAGCATGTCATGACTCACCTTTGGGAGGCCATCTTGGGGTTTCCAAGACTTTTGCCAAGCTTGAACAGTCTTACTTCTGGATTGGTATGAAAACTGATGTGCGTCGGCACTGCATCAGTTGTGACAAGTGTGTTGCCAGGAAGAGTCCTAGGAAACAGAAAGCACCCATGAAAGAGTATACAACAGGCTCACCCATGGAGAGACTCACCACCGACATCATGGGCCCACTGGACCGTACCCCCAGTGGCAACAAGTACATACTTGTTGTCACTGATTCGTTCACTAAGTGGACTGAGGCCTATGCGATTTCAAATATCGAGGCAAAAACAGTGGCAAAGAAGATTGTCGAGGATTGGGTCTGTCGCTATGGTACCCCAGCTCTTATACATAGTGATCAAGGTAGACAGTATGAGGCTAACCTGTTCCAGGAACTATGTAAATTGCTGGGAGTTTTAAAACTAGGACAACTTCTCTCCGACCACAGGCCAATGGCTAGGTTGAGCGGTTTAACCGAACATTAGCAGCCATGCTTAGCATTTATACTGAAGGGAGACCAAGGTACTGGGACAAACATCTCCCCTTCGTAATGGCTGCTTATCAAAGCTCAAAGCATGAGTTGACAGGTTATACACCAAACAGGTTGGTGCTCGGTAGGCAAGTGGGAATGCCTTACCACCTGGTCACAGGAAATCCTAACGAGAATCCTGTGACGAGAAATGACTATGTTGACGAGGTCAAACAACATTTTGAACATGCTTTTGAGTCTGCTCGGAGAAATCTCAGACATGCGACATTCCGAAGTGCGAAAGAAACGATATGACCTGGGGAGCAAGGAATCACATCTTAAGGTCGGACAGCCAGTATGGTTGTTTAACCCCCACAAAGGCTCAAAACTGAGTTACAAATTCATTTCAAAGTGGTGTAAAGGTTGGGTTGTCACTAAGCAAATTGATGACATCACATATCGTATTCAAAATGGTCCAAATAGATCCTCCAGGGTTGTTCATGTTGACCGGTTGTTACCGTACAACGGTAATGACCCACCAACATGGTGGACTCCTGAGTATAAAGATTGAGTGAATACCTCCCAGTGAGCCATCCTGAAACATTCAGAGATGAGAATTAGTTGTGTAAAAAAACAAACAATTCAAATGCAGTTACAATAGCCTATGCCAAGGTGTAAACATTGATGAGATATGGTATGTTCTGTTAATTGGTTCTTATTGATTATTTATCCTGGATGCTATCTGGATTTAAAATTTGGGCGTGTTGGACGCTTTCCGGTAGATATTCCAGAGAATGACAATTTAGAACGCATGAGACATAATGTCTTATTTTACCAAATGGTAGATGTTGGATCAACCGTTAGTATTAACGAGACTTATATGACATGTTATTGTTGTAATAACATAGGAAATGGATATATCTTATTTACACCTATGCCAATTATATCGAAATGTAAACATTCAAACTTATAAATTCTCCCAGGGCTACCAATGTTCCAGACGAGGATATTCTTGACCTTGACCTGACAAGGAGATGTTTGTAAATGCACAGGCTTTTGACAGGCACTGGTTAATGCGCCATACTCAGCACCTGACTACATTCTTCTGCCCCGTAAGGGAGTGCCAATTAGTTTATAACAGGTTCGCTGACCTTACCCGTCACTATGGTGTGGTGCACGCCGGACGTAAAGGGAATCCGGCCAACCCCATGCAGGTCTGCAGAAGAGCTCGGACAAAGGTGATGGTGAATAGATGCTTTGTCGACCCAGGCAATCTTGTTTTTCCAACTAACTCAGCAAAGAAGAGCGCAACGAAGAACGTAACTGGGAAGAAGATACGATCACAGGTTACCCAGGTACCTGCAACAGTGAAACCTGGAGACCATATACCCAAAGCTGAGCATAAGTTCAGCACTGGAGAGGCAGTTCCGGCCACAGAGCCGAGATCCAACCAGATGGCGGACCAGTCCATGCAGTGGGAGGTGGCTTATGACAGGGCCCAACTGGATATTCAGATGCTCAGGCAGGAAGTCGAGCATCTACATCGACGTCTGGCCAAAACAACACCCTCATGGCCTACTGCAGCTGACATCCCGCGGTCACGACCAGCTCTGGACATCTTCATCAATTCTGGCAGGGAGGCCCTGTCAGTTCTTCACATGGCCGAAGACCAGAGGTTCATGGAACAGCTGAACCTGCAACATCAAGCTGATACGTATATCCTGAGCATGCAGAAGTGAGACAGTCTCTCAGACTGTGATATTGGACTTGTAAAATGTTTTATTCTTCTGTATTTTAATTCATGGATGTTCTTGTGGAAATGTAAGTGAATGAATAAGTATACTGGTATGTAACAGGTATATACTAAAAATTATGTTTCACTATGTCAAATAGGAAAGGTATTAGACGAATATTCCGTGATATTATATAATTGTGTAATATCAGTTGTATTAGACATATATCCACTATCATTAGATTGTTGTTTAACTCGCGGTCGAGTTATACATTTTAAAACGGAGAATATTGTAATGTACAAGCCTTTTGTACATTTCGGTCAGTAGACCAGACAGTGAGATGAATCATATTGTATATGTTGTATGTGATACAGCATACTACCGTAAAGATATACGTTATTGCTACATGAATTAACGTATATCACCACTGATCTTACTGACTGTTTGTTTAATGTGCGAAAACAAAATGTGAACACGTTCTAAATCACCTGTTTCGATTTGGCAACGTGATAGTTCGTGTGACGTCACCTATATTCGTGAGTCTGTTCCACGAAACTACTTCTTGTAGCATAATGGCTTAAATCAGCCTTGTATGGCTACAAAAGTGCATCTAGTCCATCTAAATGCATTGTATATTACTACATAGCCGTGACACGAAGTAAAATAACTTCTGTCACTGGTGGAGTGCAATTTCCCCACGTTCCACCGACCGTATCCTCATGCGAGAGACTACTTCCGGTATGACGTCACTTTGTTGACAGTTTGATCGGTTGTAGATTTTCTGATACGAGAGTGAAAGCCGGTTCGAGCCGAGATATGTGAGTTGACATTCAAGTATTTTATATTTATTGTACATCTTCCTAACTGAATGAATTACTGAAAAGAATAATTATATTCTTGTTATTTAATAAATGTTATTGTGCAATTCTTAATTGTGAAATTATTCTTGAAAATTAAATAATTAAAACTGTGTGGTTGGTGGTATTGGGAGTGATCCACAATTCGCTACCCAAAGCTGTACCCCAATACCCACCCCCAGAACCGTTACAATGGGTTTTGACGATCTTTCGACGTAACAGGAGATAACCTAGACCATCATCTGCAAATACCTGTGCTAATTTACAATCAATTATAGACAGGATCAAGCAAGACGTCAAACTGACTTTCCTGCTGATACCAACAAAGACAGTGTTTGTATCTCATCCCAGTGATAGGCCTCTGTCAACAGCAATGTCTTTGCTTGAATTCTTTACTTGTTAAAGAACAGATTGTTGCCATGTTTGAGCATGTTGTCGGTGTCGATGGCTGTATGCGAACCGAAAACATTGCCATCCTTTACAAAAAATGTTTATTATTTATTCCATGGTGTTTTCAAACGGAAGAAAAATATCAATATCTAAGAGAGTGTCATAGTGTTGAAAAGGTTTGGGGAGAGGGGAGGTGACCGATTTTGCTCTTCTTCAAATACATTATTATGTGGAACGAATTTGATGATGGATTAACAAATACAGAATTCCATTGCTAGTCAAATGATTAAATAAGATAATCATATATTTTATTTCTAGCACATACCGGTTGTATATGAACACACGAAACAGTCGGAATAGCAATGAAGACAATTAGGAATTTTGATAAGAGTGCATGTCATCCGTGATTGTGACGTATGGTTTTTTTTGCTTTTTTATGATTTTTATACATACGCTTCGTCGGTTTTGACAGTAACGATACACGTTAAGCAACTGGTGTTTCATACGTTTTCTAAACCATGTTAAATGGGTTAATGAGGACAGATACTCGCACGATATGCAACTTCATTAAGATGTTTTCAATACGAAACAAAATATTGTTTGACCATGTTTCGTTTGTTTTCAGTTCCTGTCGTATCCATGTTGGCTCCAGGGCTACTCTTCTGCCTAGCATATTCGTTGCTATGGGGCTGGGTAACATCAGGTATGTAGAAGGACAAAAACGAATTGTTATTTTTACCAACTCTTTAACAATACGTTTTGCCAGATGACTTGGCGTTGTTTGAAGAAACATGTATTTTAGATGAAACATGGTTTCTGTTACAATAGAACACGCGAACTTCTAGCTGCATTTATGAAACCGCCTTTACGTTCACGATTGAAACCACGATTATTTTGTATTGGTATGGTAAACTAATTCAAGTTATGACTAGTTCTGCATGCACGATACTTGCGCGCCACCTAGAGTATATTTTCATCTCCGTCTGTTGGCAGGGGTAGCAGGACAATGTCCGTGCTCTATAGTTTTACTAACACATCTGATTTGCATCACTATTGGCTTTTCTTCCACATTAAAACGGATGGCTAATATATTGATTGCATACCTCAAAGGCGGCGCCGCCAACTCATCCGCTTGAGTCTTCGAATTTTAGTTCTTAGTTCTTCCCCGCACAGCACGTTTGTATTCCGATCGCATACAAAGGGGTAAGAAAATCAAAGACTCCGTTGTGTGTTGTCTGTAGTGGTAGATACATCATTGTATACTATTACCAAACCTTATTTTATGAGATAAACATAATGAATTTCAAATCGTTTTCTTTCAGCATCTTCTTTCAAGAGGGTATGCTATTTCACAAACTGGTCCGGAGACCTTCTCACCCCGGAGGCCCATTTCAACCTGGAGGACATTGACGCTAGACTGTGTTCACATCTCATTTATGCATTCGCTAAAATCAACACAGAATCCCTTGACCTTCTTCCTACGAGGCTCGACGACGGAGGGGAAAATGGAGCAGTGGGACGTTATATACTGTTTAATAACTTGAAGAAAGACCATCCTGGCCTGGTCACTTTGCTGTCAGTCGGGGGTTCCTTGCAGGCCAATACAGGATTCGTTAAAGTTGTTGAGACAATGGAAAGCAGGCGGAAGTTTGCGAATAATTGTGTGGCGTTTCTGAGACTATGGGGCTTCGATGGGCTGGACGTCGACTGGGAGTACCCTGGAGATCCCTTCGAAACTAGAACTAATTTTACAATGCTGTTATTGGTAGGTTTACTTAGCATCAGTGATTTGTCTCCAAATTATCCCAACCTATCAAAACCAACAGCCTGTTGTTCTCGTTAACACATAACGACATCCATCGCTATGGCCCTATTGTTTCTGGAGGGAGCTGTCTTAAGCATCAGAATGACGATGTCAGTTTATGATGAGATATTGGATTAGTAGATGAGATATTGGTAGATTAGAATTCGCTGTCAACTATTATGATAAATAGGCTAAAATTCAGTGGTAAGGCTCAGTTCATGATCAAATTCTACTCAGCAGCGATATCTTACAAACACGCATATATCTACTTCTGAAGTGTAAAGCCTTCTGTGTAAGATTGATAGGTTACCAATAACACGCTAAATTAAACTTATAGCTGAATGAGCAATCTATGTGTCCATAGAACCAAGAAAAGAGATTGGAATATCTCTCTATATTTAGGTTTGACACAGGGTTAAACATGCATCTGTTATGGAAATTGAAACTAGATTTCACAAATGTTTGCATAGATGTGGCTGAGAGTATGAATTCAACCATGCTTTGTTTCTATGGTTTCTGAAAGGAACTCCGGACTGTCTTCGAAAAAGAGGCAGAGGTGACAGGCAGAAAGAGGTTGCTGCTGTCAATGGCCGCCCCTGCCAGCGAGGTCCTAATTTCTGATGGTTATGAGGTTGACAAGGTTTCGAGGTCAGTGTCGCTATAAATCCCCGTCTCTGCACTATGTGCCTTATGAAACAAACTGATGAACGTTGTCGTGTTCTAGTTTTGCCACCATTTAAATAGTGTGCAATTATATGTCTTCCTAAAACTCGAATCGTATTTATTTAGGAATACTTCCAAGTTGTAATTCTCGGACAATCTACCTACCTACCTGAAAAAGTCGAGACGTGATCTTTTCTTCATCCCTGTCTGACGGCTTCGGACACTCCATGACCCATTTCTGATCTCTTGTCTACATAATTATACAACCTCTTTACAAGGACAATACTGTGGGGTAATCGATTAGTTAATATGGCACATGTCAGAAATATTAACGCCATAAAATGCCACCTGCCTCCAAACTTAAAGTCAAACAACACAGCTTTGCAAAGATCATTTCCCTGTGGGTATTGTTGGTGTTAGTGATAGTGTTCGCGAACCTTTGGGTGGAGGGGATATCACGATGTTAAACGCTCAAGACCTGTATGACTTTGGGCTATCGTTCTACATTAATCTGACACGCGGTACAATAACTATAATGTTGCGATACTTCAGACACTTTGATTTCTTCATTGGTTCGACGATTATTGTAGTTGGCCAAATTTACTGTAACAACGTCCAGAAAATGGAACGTTCTGGATAAACAAGGTCCATGTACATCAAGAGTAAACGTAAACATTTTGTACAGACTTGTTGACTTCATCAACATAATGGCGTATGACTTCCATGGTGCCTGGAACGACTTCTGTGGCTTCAACGCCCCGCTCTACTCACGGAAAGAGGACTTGCAGTTCTATCCCGACCTTAATGTGGTAAGTTCGTTGTGTAGAGTTGCGCCCTTTAGGTGTGTCAGAAACCTATTATGTTTGGTTCGAATCCAAACTCGCCCTGGTTATGTTTCTAGGTGTGTCGATACCATAGCCACCCTCGTGAGTATCGCCAAAAGTGGTAAACGTCTATGACCCGCATCGCTTTGGGCCTTCCTACCCCATCAAGCTGGCACGCCGTGATATAAATAAGCTACTGTTCGTGGTGATGTTAAACCAAAGTTACCCACACTTAATGTGGTGATTTCATCCAAGACCCATCAATTAGAGCTAGTTCATAACTGATTAGAAACGAAAGGGGGATAGATGCGGGCAAGTTATATAACCTAATTACATTCCGATGACTATTTTCACATGCGAGACAATGAATAGGAAAAAACTAAATTCATGAATTGATTAAGTTGTTGGTATGTATAATTTCTCATGAAGATCTAAAAACCGCACAGATCTAAAAGAAATTCTAACGTGGCGCAACGTGAACCACATGTCTTGTTTCTCAACACTTTGTTCATGTTGGGGTGCTGTTGTCTAACTATTTCTCAATATATGATTTGTAATATATCTTCAAGAACGGTAGTCCGAAAGAGTGGCATGTAGGTTTCATAAACACTTCGTAACGGAACGCACTTCCACATAACTGAAATCGGAAACGATAACAAAAGATATTATAAAATGTTTCAAGATTGAACATATCTTTCCATTCTGTTCATGGGCATTGTTAAGAGTATCAGTTAATTTTGTAGCTACAGAACGCTTGACTATCGGTTAATGTCTTTATTTTAAAAATAAACGACCACGATTCTATTATTTCTCATATGAGATACCAACATCATGTACAGCCTCTTAAGGATGTTGATAAAATTTACAAGCTTTAAAAATATTTACCCAAATTTTAATAATGAGGACTCCCTAAATAGAATCACGAATTTTGGATGTGATCGTTCGGCCACTGCGTTTATCTGCTGGCCCAGGTACATGTATGGGGAATAGCTCACTAAACACTTCCCTCTCCAAAATAACGTCCTCCAATATTTGACGTCTTCAAGTTGTAAGCGCATATTCGAATCTCAAGAAATGGCGTCATGATAGATCAATGTTTTATTGTGAAATAAACCACGCTTCGTTCTTCATTGTTATTTGCGATTTATATTTATCGCGTATCCATCTTATATTTGTAGTTACAGAATGCTTGAGTATCAGATAATGTTTTCTGTTCGTATTTACAGATTCTTGAGTCAGTGTTAGCTAATGTCTTCTGTTCGTAGTTAAAGAATGCTTCAGTATCAGGTAATGTTCTCTATGTGGAGTTATAGAATAGTTGACTATCAGTTACTGTTCTTTGAAACAAATACCAAGAAGTAGCCAACTACACAAAACTGTGTATTTGTAAGCAGTGAAATATATTATACTCAGCAGTCTATGTCATTCAGTACAGTAATGTTTATTGACACATTATAGGAATGGGCTGTTGACACCTGGATCAAACGAGGAGCCCCGCCTGAGAAGATAGTTGTTGGAATAGCCGGCTATGGAGCTTCGTATACACTGGCCGAAGCGTCGAGTCATGGTGTCGGAGCCGAGGTGTTGGGACCGGGAAAACCAGGCCACTACAGAATGATGGAGGGGCAGCTGGCGTTCTATGAGGTAACGTGTGATAGGTATCTGTCTGTTACATCAGTAATAATTCATTAGTTATTGTGTCTCACAACAGCCGTGTCGCGCCGTTACAATAATTGAGCTATCATGTCCACACCACGATCTCTCGGATTGTACATCGATCTTTCTATACATGTTTGGTCTTGCATGTTAAGGGTGCCAACGGTGTGGCAGGCTACGCTCACCTTTTCGCGAATACCTGGTATCGCTATTGAAAACAAAACATAACAATGTAGAATTAAACTTTGATATTCCGTCGTCTATTCTTTGAAGATAATATATAACACCAGACAGTAACTCGAATAGTTTCAAGTTTTAGGTTTCTGGTGAAGCCAAGTAAATTTTCACAAATACCTAAAATGTCCCCTCTTTTCAATTTAGGTGTGTGAGATGCTCGATAAGGGAGAAGCTAGCTACGCCTGGGACGACATTCAGAAAGTGCCATACGTCTACAACAACGACACCTGGGTCGGATATGATGACGAGAAAAGTGTTGCCGTCAAGGCGAGTATTTACCTCCTACTCTTTTCACGATATTATCGCACTTTCTCTGCCTGGACTACAAATAGTTATGCAAAACTTGTAATTTCGACGCGGTGTTCATCGTTTCACGAATCGGTAGCTACAAAACGGTGGGTACTGTCACTAAAATATTTCACAAACGTCTATTGTGGGAGATTATTGTATTAGTGAGGAGACACGGGTTTGACTTCGCATGACTTCACAAAGGACGAGACGGCTTATCGACTATCTGTTACATCACTGTAGCTCGCCAGGAATACCCGCGAATTAAACTGTTGGTAAATACTGGACGGTTAACAACACACCCTGTTCCGATGTTACATGTGAATGATGACAGCCACCAAGCCCAAGGAACTCATAGCTGATTCTCCTAGAGTGTATCAAATGTACACAAATAAATTTCACAAATGCATAGGATAACTGACATCAAAGCGTCAAAAGTGAGCAAACCCACAATTACGAAGCATAATCTGCATTATTCATTATTTACACAAAATTAATGTGTTTTAACCCTCAGATAATAAGCTTAGTCCTTTTAATGCTAACATAAGTAAGTTCCCTCTGAATTAACAGAGTATTGTCGGTAAATATGAATTCAACTGTGTTAAGGTCAGGGCATGACAACGATACTTGTTGGCCAATATGATAAGATTAACACCAAGTTATTGTACTTATACATCTCCTTGAGAATCAGCTTGGATCAAGCATTCGCTCATGTACAAATTAGCTTTCCGTATAACTCTAAAACCAGCCTTTTGATTCTGTTAAATATACATTTGATTCTGTTTACAATTAATCCAAAACATGCAAATATTGAGATTTAAAAAATAAATTTTACTCACATTAATATGGACACATCTGATTTCTGAAATATCGTTATGAAAGTTGGATTTCTAAAATTATGCAGATCAAGTGGTTTCCATGGGTACATATCATACCTCGCTTTTTCCCATGGAGCCGTACACGCCCTTCTTAAACCGAGCTGAGAACTGAACTTCGAATCTTCTTTTAACAAATAAAGAACTTGACCGTGACTGGTGACCATGTTGGTCACTTACTAGTATCTGACAGGCAAGCCAATCCGGCCTTGTTTACTGTGCTTCAATACCTCATCCCCGGGCCTCGTTTTAAAGACGTACTATGTCCCTTTACTGGGCAGCATCTCATAATGAATACATCAGTCGTACAATCAGTTTCACTTTACAGGTCTTCCTAATTCGCCTGAAAATGCTTGTATCGTCCGTGGATGTGTTTATTCAGTTGGAGATAAATTAAATTATTGAGGTCTATTCATTTCGAATTTTTTCTCTCTCACAAAACATATGATCGTAGATTGGAATCCCGTTTCGCCCTTCACCATTGTCGTAACTGGACCGGGTGGTTGCTGACTTCGTTGATGCATGTCATCGTATCTCAATTACGTAACGCTTAATCGAGTTAAATGAGTTACCTGCATGTGTGCTAATACATAAGAGTGAAAACAAGCCATTCCGCCGATAAAAAATATTTTTACAGTGATGACAGACATTGTAAAGGGGCTTATCAAGAATTTTGCTAACGATAAACGACATCTTTGGATCTCTTGGTTACAATCCGGGTTAAAATCGGCAATCAGGTGACCGCGAGCGGTTATTTTTAGAAGTGAACGTGGCCGGTTTGTTCTCACATTGCCAAAGTCTTAATGTTGTTTTAGTAACGGATTAGGATTAGACTGGATTATAGTCTGTACTAGTCTGTTCTTGCTATAGTCACCTGGTGAGTAGTAGTAGTAGTAGTAGTAGTAGTAGTAGTGGTAGTAGTAGTAGTAAAATATTTTGATTGAAATGATGATTGAGAGAGTGATGTCAAACTAGCAACAGGCTATTTATGCGTGTTATTGCCATTCATGTTCATTGCAAATATGCCGAATGCATGGTTTGGTGATTTTTAGATTAGAACAATAGAGTTAGGCAAGGTGAGAACACCTCGTGCTGGTAAAGTACATACGCTGCACACGCTGCTACCTATAGCCTAAATATAGTCACCCGACTGCCAATCACCGGATTGTGACCTGGTGATCCCAAACTCAATCATGACATATTTCGTGAGAAAAATAAATATTTCTTGAAAAGCGCACTTTGCAAAATTTGTCATTACTGTAAGCAATGTTTCTTACCTGCAGAATGGCTTGTTTTCACGTACCTTCGTCAGTTATTTGCGAAATTTCGTTATTCTATTTCAAGTGGCGGGGACAAAAGTCGCCGCGTACTACACGCATAGAGCGCTAGGAATCTATTCTCAACAGGAATCCTCCCAACGGGTCCTTTGCTATACTACTGCTGGTCGTAGCTTCGAATGACACACAGGTTCCCTCGATTATGAACCTTGGCCTGTCAGTATCATTGTGCTTGCTGGTTTCAACAAAGTAGAAAATATGTCGTGTCCATTTTCGGTGCATTTTACTGACACACTGTGGTATAGTTGATACACGTTTAACCCAACAACTGACTTCCGTAGCGTATCTCACTGAAATACTTTGCAATATTTACAGACCGAATGGATGATTCAGAAGAACGTGGGCGGCGTGATGCTGTGGTCCCTTGACTTGGATGACTTCAAAGGAACTTTTTGCAAAAAGGGAAAATTTCCACTACTTAGGTCAATTGTAAAAACAGTTGCTAGATACTTTGATGACAACACTGTCCCGCCGACAGCACCAACGCCCCCTACAACGACCTCAACTTCAACGACGACGACAACACCTACCCCTGCTACTACCACTACGGCAACAACGACACCAACGACGACGACAACACCTACCCCTGCTACTACCACTACGGCAACAACCACACTAACGACGACGACAACACCTACCCCTGCTACTACCACTACGGCAACAACCACTCCAACGCAAACGACAACGGTTGCCAAGACCACCTCAACACGCGGCAACAATGTCCTCACAACAACACGACGACCTCACACCTCCACTGACAGGTCGGACGTCAACGATCTTCCCAAACGGGTACGCACAGATTCAGGCACAGATTCAGGCACAGATTCAGGCACAGATTCAGGCACAGATTCAGGCGTCAACAACAACCATGACGACAGTTACGACAGTGGCGAAAGCGACAACATCGTTATAGATAATAGGAGTAAAGGGGAGGAGGGTGATACAGGAGGGGAGGAGGGTGATACAGGAGGGGAGGAGGGTGATACAGGAGGGGAGAAGGGTGATACAGGAGGGAATCGTATTGGAGATGTTGTTGAAAACGAAGCACCTAGTGGCCACGTGGCTGCGAAGAAGACTATGGCGATAACTGCAGGGAGTGGTAGCATTAGTGACTGTATTTGGTATAGATTTGCTTTTTTCATTACAGTTTTCTTTAAAATTGTATGGTAAAGGTAACAGTGGTATATTTTCAAATAAAATATTTTGTATGGAAATCAGCTGTGTTACGTCCCCGTTTATCAAATTCTAAGTTTGATGGGCCCCCGGAGAAGAACAAAATACTGTTTTTGATGGTAGCCTCTTGGACTAAATTGCCCATATATCAGGTGCAAACGTGTCCTTTTTCATATATGTCACCACGACATTGATGACTCCGGCAGGCCAGGACATTGTCTTTCTCGAACATCTTCTGTCATGGCAACAGTACACTTATTCGTGTAATGTTTGGAACTTGTATTTCCGGTTGTTGCAGACTCTCTTCTTTTTCTTTGGAGGTTCGCACCGATTTTGTTTCTAGGTTTGTCAGCACCATACCCGCGACGTGGGTGTCACCAAGCTGGTAAACGTCTGAGACCTGTATCACTTTGGTCTTTTCTCCCACATCAAGCTGACATGACGTGATATAACTGAAATACTGTTCAGTGCGGCGTTAAACCCAACTCACGCTTGAGCCCGGAAAGGTCATGGATGACTGATTATTGTCCTTCTTCTGTCTGCACCATACCCGTGCTCGTTGATTTCACTGAAGTGCTTAAACACGAAAGCCTAGTCTGTCTTACAGACCCTGATACAAATATATATCAAATACAGCCCATGCAAGTCTATAATGTTTGGCAAGTCTAGATCACTGCAGTATCTGAAAATGAAGAGAGTCACTCGGCTCCTTTTTATTATATTTTTATTAAGATAACTAAACAACTGTTTTTTTATGTACGATATGTTCATTTCAGAGACTAGATTATAGTCTAACGAAAGCCTAGTTATGCCCCTTTGGTAGCTTTTTTAAAATCGAAATTTGACCTTATTTCAATCATTTGTTTATTTCCTCGTAATTTCGAGTATTTTCTCGTTATTTCGATTATATTTTCGTAATTTCAATTATTTTCCCGTTACTTCGATCTTTTTCTCATATTTTAGATTATTTTCCCGTTATTTTAATCATTTCCTCGTTGCTTTTATTTTTCTTGTTATTTCGATTAATCGAAACAATCGAGTTTTTTCTTCTTATATCAATTATTTTTTTCGTAATTTCGATTATTTTCTCGTTATTTCAAGTTTATCTGAAAAAATACTCAAGTTAATTCAATTATTTTCTCGTAATGTCGTAGTTTTTTTTATATGATCTGGAAATTACGAGAGAAAAATTGGAAATAACGGGACATTTCCATACAGGTAAACATAAAATTATGCTACAAAAGTGGCACCATTAGTCTCTCGTATTACATCTTGGCTTACTTCAGGCTCTACACCCTCATTAAGTTGTACTCGACATCGCAGTGTCAAACCCAACTCACTCACTGACACAGATATGCAATAGGCAAACTTCACACAGAGCTGTACTCACGAATCACTGTATCCTTACACTTATATCGCCTGTTGTTCGCGAAACGGTTGAGCAGTCACTGCTCTGTCGTTGCTTATATGCCCGTGATTATTACACTGAAAACCCTAGAAACATGCTGCAACCTTCCTGATCTTTGGAAAATATCATCATTCTCTCTGGAAGTTGAGGAGGACGACAAATCTTGGGTCACTGTAGCAAATGTATCATTGAGTCACCGATGAACGAATGTAGCTCATAAAACGAATAAGAGATCGGTAATTGGTATATTCTCGGTACATGTGATTTCACGGTGATGCTCAACGCTACCTTTGTTATTCTGTTCTGTTATTAGATAACTATACATACGAAAAGCATTACATTATCTAACGTTGAGGCATGACTCGCTTAACCGTTTCGCACCCGGTGTCATCACTGATTATTCTCTTGCTATGACTTTTTACATTTACTCATTTGACAGCCAATTTCTTCCCAACGAGGCCAATAATTACAATACTTCACCATGTTAAGGATTCATGCATGGCCTTGTACCTAATGCTTCCACTTCAGCCACTGTCGCAAATGCATGAGATCTGAAGAATGTATTGTATATATCGTTACATTAATTAACCCTAGAAATAATATCAATGATTAAAACAAACAAGTAAAATTTTATTCGTACAACACACCAAGGAATATTTTTTAACATTTATAGCAATTTATGATTTCATAATTGATCAAGAACATATTTACATTGTTTCACTACACCAGATTTACTGTTGAACACCAACTAGGAACACAAATGACAGACAGAAAGAAAATTGTAGATTCTAGTGTACCTCAATAAATAAATAAATAAATTCCACAAATGTAAAAACTACAATTTAGTTCATAATTTCGAATTCTCATTCTGGGAAGCTTTAGTCCCCGAGAGATGTGTTTCCTTGGTGTCACCGGCGGAAGAGGATGCTGTAGGTTTGGCAGATTTGTGGATCGCCAACTTCTTGCAGGAATAGCAGAGCACGCGTTTCAGGGTCGAAGCGAATTTCTCACTCAGGACGAAGTACAATACGAAATTCCAAGCAGAATTAGTTGCTTCTGCCAGTTGACCGAATGCGCTGACAAGGTAAAATACATTCTTTTCAAACCCTCGGAGATTGTATTCCGGATACATCATCACGAACATCTGATGGAGGCAGGCAGGGATGTTGAATGTGACGTATGATATACAGATTGTAAGCATCATCCTAGTCACTTTGGCCAACTTTTCATCCTTGGCCGATGAGGCAGCCTTTTGGAAGGCACTTGCTTTCCTCAATGTAATGATGATGGTGACTGATGTTGTAAAAATAAAGATAACCGGAATGAATCGAAAGACAACGGTGAGAAAGATATTCAAGTACCAGTTCAATACTACAATGTTCTTTGTGTAGAACTCGGTTAACGAAACGTAAGCCATTGGAGCCTTAGTTTTGGGGTTGGTTGTCCAGTTGAGCTGCATTGTAAAGAACGTGGGGGTAATCAGAGACACTGTCAGGACGATTAATACAAGTACCATGATCCATACTCTCTTGGATGTAAACCAAAGCCTCACTTTCATCGGTCTGGTCACCGCTATACACCGTTCTATAGATATCAGCATTGTGATGACCCCTGTAAAACGACTGAAGATAATACTGATGACCTTCATCTGGGGTAGAGTTATCATGTAGTAGTTCATTCCAAGAAGAGCGTCGAATTTCCCGAGAATACATTCAACCCTACGAATGCCACTAGTAAGCAGGTTACCTGTGTCGGATATGGTCAGGACAAACAGGAAGATGTTAGTTGAATCCTTGAGTCCCTGAATCATCAGGACGATGCAGCTCAAGATGTTACCCGTCGTTCCGAGTATTGTGAGAGCTGGAAGGATCCCGCAGTAAACGATGTCCTCCACCATATCTTTAGTAGCTTTGTCTACCATTGGTGCCAGCTGAGACTGGAACAGTGCGTTCAGGTTTCCCTTGGTAGTGCTCTCGGTCCAGTTTGACGGAAAGGTTGTATTATTCATCCTGGAGTCTGTTTGAAAAGAAGCATTCCTTTAAGATGACATTGTGAAAATCTCATAACAAATTATTTCTAAATTGTATAATTGCTTATCTGGAATTATAAGGTCCATGGATTAATCTCAATAAACTGCAGACGAAGGCCGTTGGTTTGAATCCCAGTTTCGTTTTCATAATACACTCTACCACGAATTTGGAAATTATTCCATTCCGACTGATTAATAAGAGGTATCAAGTGACAATTACCACCTCCAATTGACGATTTGACATCCGCGTCACCATGCAATAATAATAATAATAATCCAGTTGTCATACAAGTACTCCCTTTCTCGGTTATGGTAGGTACGCAATTTTTAAATAATTATATGTACAATTATAGTTTACAAAATGCAGAGTTATGGTTATTCCAATGTTCAAAATATTCGTGGCAATACATTTTAGGCAGACAATACGATAGGAATTGACTACGAGAGTGTATTTAAAGTTTTGGGGCACAAAGCGAGCCTTTCTAGACTCGATTGTGACTCGATTTTGAGTACATGTATCTCCAAACTTTGTTTACTGTCTATCAACGATGTTACCTTAAGTTAGATCGACAATCCACGCAAAGCGCTTTACCTAACCCATGCCGCATTACATACTTCTTTTATAAGAGCACAGAGTTTATACTATTTTGGAGATGAACATACTGTTGTCAATGTAGACCTAGGTTACCTGGGTATTTAGCATTTTCGCGTTTGGTGAAAATAATCATTTTAAGGGGGGGTTATAAATTTATAGGTAACCTAACTTTACATTGTAAGAACAGTATGTTTATCTCCTAAATGTACCGAAGTCGTGGTTTCCATTGGTCCATTCATATAAGTTTCACCCCTATTTTGCCTTTTGCACGGTGACTTTCAGCAGATAGACGGAACTCATTGTCCTCCGGCGTTGACGTTAAATATCTTATTCTGAATCAATTCGTGTTATTCCCAGGTGCTTCCCAGGGACTGTGGAAGTACTCCGTCAGTTTACGTCATTTCAAGACTACAGTCACGTGGAAAACGTATGAACGTCAAATTGTGTCGTTCATATACTTATGAACGCCAATTTCGCACTCATGTTACCGAACTCTCCTCCAATGAAAAAGTCATTTATCGTGTAAACTTCACATTAAACAATGATGTGATATTATCTGCAGCATTATCCACGGCCTTCGGTCCACATACGAAATAAGCACTCAAGTAATTATATCCAATAAGCCTTTTAGAGTACAAAGGAAATGCGGTGTAAATTGTCGAAACCGGACTCTGACTAATCCGGAGTCATATCCATACCGTACCACATTAACGGTCTCGAAAATACTTTGATTCCTAATATTTAAAACCCTATCTTGATTTCCTAATTATTATCTGCTACTATTGTCTCATTAATCAGGTCCTAAACCGGTTCAAACAGATTACATTGAAACAAAGTATTTGGTCATTATGTTGCCTGGTCTTCAGCAAACCATGCTTGTCGTAAGAGGCGACTGACGGGATCGGGTAGTCAGGCTCGCTGACTTGGTTGATGCATGTCAGCGTATCCCAATTGTGTGGATCGATGCTCATAATGTTAAACCAATGTTGGATTGTCTGGTCCAGACTCGATTATTTATAGACCGCCGACATATAGCTGGAATATTGCCGAGCGCGGCGTTAAACAACAAACAAACAAAACATTATGTTGCCTAAAGCTCAGTTATCCCTTGCAATAAACATTTCAATACCACGCGTGATCTTCAGCTTAGTTTTTGCCCATGTGGATAGAAATAGAATCATAAAATATCGCGATTTTTAATTAACGAAAATAGCTGCATGTGTGTTAAGATATCTGCATGTGTGTTAATACGTATAAAGTGAAAACAGGCCTTTCCGGCGATAAAGAATATCACTTAGAGAAATGACAAAAATTGAAAAGAGCGCTTTTTAAGAAATATCCATTTTGCTAGAGATAAACACCATCACTGAGGTTTAATCACGTGGCAGTGAGGTTATATTTAGCAGTGTGTGCTGCCTACGTCGCTTTGCAGCACGAACTGAATAAAAAGAACTTGCAGATGTTGTATTTAAAGCGCCATTGACCTCGTTCTGGACGCACACACTGCTAAATATAACCGCTTGCGTATCATTACCCAGATTGTTACCACGTCATCAGTGCTAATGCATATCGGCAGCAAAATGGTTATCTTTTTAAAACTTTGCAGTTTTTGTCATTACTGTTAGTAATGGCTTGTTTTCACTTTACACTTTAACACACGCGCAGCTATCTTCGTTCATTAATAATCACGATCTTTCTTGATTCTTTTTCAAGTGGCGAGGATTATATGATAACCCAGTTATAATCGGAACAAAACTGGCACGTATCCCTTCACATCGCTGGGACACTAGCGTCGCCAAGGCGCCACACTGTCGATAAAGTGATACACATCGTACCATATCTTGATAGCAAACGGAAGGAAACTTTATTAAGAATGATTATTATAACTGAAATCGGAGACATTCGCCTCGATGTAAGGAAATATATTGTTTCTCGTTTTACGCTGCAGTCGGCAATATTTCAGTTATCTCACGGCGGCCTGAACACAAGAGTCAGGCCAGACAAAAGCAGTGGTTGATATCATGAGCAATGTCTAATGTTGTCGAAGTACGGAAACTGCTTGTTGGGCACGCCAGAAACCTATGATTGTGGGTTCGAATCCCGGTTCGCCCCGATTATGTTTCTAGGTTTATCAGCACCATACCAGTGCTCGTGGGTTTCACCGAAGTGGTAAACGTCTGGGACCTGCATCACTTCGGGCTTTCCTCCCACATTAAGCTGACACGCCGCGATATAACTGGAATACTGTTAAAAGCGGCGTTAAACCCAACTCACTCACTCTAACCCTTGTAGGTTTGGAACTACTGACATGAGTACTGCTAAATTACGTGAAAAAAAACACTTTTCGAACTACTGAGACCCAAGGTGAATCTTTACCACGACCCCTAAGAAGATTAGCTTTGGTCAAAGATGTGTTCAAATAGTATTTTTAAATGGCTCCTGAAAATCTCTTCAGTTATCATGCTGATACATATAACTTAACCTAAACGTCTGGTGGTGCTGTGAGTTAAAACATGCTTGAATTGAAACAAAATCTCACTCCTATGTACACTTCCGATAACTTACACAACAACTCAGAAAATGTTGTGTTAATTTCTTAAAGTATAAAAAACTGTGGGCCAATCTTAACATGCTTTTACACAGACGTACCTGTAGACGCAGCCTGGTTCAACGGGAGTCGAGAATACTACACGGCAACTGACAGGGACACAGGAATACTTGGAAACTGAAGTACATTTATGTATGATGAAGTGTGAAATTAATTAATTAAGTGTGACCAAACTGCTAATAACATTGGCACCTGTAGGCTAGAACACTGAGCATAATTGTACGCCTGTTTGGTGTGATGATTCGACATCCCGGTTCGCTAATTTCCTCGACGTGTGTCTCAGAAACATTGCATCACATCAAGGCACCTTCACCAACACAAAGAGCTGATCGAAGAGCAGGTTGTTGAGTTTGTTTCACCCTGGAGGTGCAGATATGAACGTTGATTAATCATTATATGTCGGATAGGGAAGACAACCATTAGTCGAGACGTGTTAATTAAACCTGGAGTATAATCATGTGGATTTCGTGTTGCTGTATTGCACCGGTATTCCTCAGACTCGTGTATGCATCTGTATGCTGTGTTTCTTCTTCTCGGTCTGTGTAGTAATATTAGCCAATTATAGTGACCATATTTTCAGTTGTTTACGGATTTCAAGAAAAGGTGGTGATGCTCTCATGTTTAATCAGTATATTTGAGTGCACACCAACATGCATTTCAACGCAATAACAGTTAAATACGAAAGTATACTCTCACTACTCCTTACCATTGTATACGATTTCAAATAATGACCCGCACACGCACACACAAACGCACACGCGCACGCATGTACACTTGCATGTCACATGCTATCAAACTCGTTAATATTTGAACATAATACGCATGTGTTGCTAAAATTCATGTACAGAGGGGGATCAGTTTGACGACTTTTTTAAATAAGGCACATTAAACAACATCCATTCTTCAATCGTTACACCATGTTGATCTAGAACACGGCCTAGTTTGGGAGACACAAACAGCTATCACACAAAAACGTTTTACACGAAGCTATACATAACAAATCTTTAGAGAACGTTCATCTTGGTCATATTTATAACTACAGAGTATAAACTATGTGTTATTTTAACACATAAGAGTGAGTGAGTATGGTTTTACGCCCCTTTTAGCAATATTCCAGCAATATCACGGCGGGAGACAACAGAAGTGGGCTTGACACATTGTACCCATGTCGGGCATCGAACCAGGGTCTTCGGCGTGACGAGCGACCGCTTTAACCACAAGGCTACCCAACCGCCCCTCAACACATAAGAACGTTTGAACTAAGGAGGAGGCATTATAAGATACACATTTAAAATAGTTTGAGTAAATGTTCATCAACACAAGAAACAAGAATTGATTAGACACATTGAAATAAATGTGCTGATAATTGCTCCTAAATAAAACAATAGCCAAGGCACACACAAACAACATCTTGTATTGCATGTTCATTCATTCAGCAAATGATTTAAAGAAATCGACAAACTCCGCCATGAAAAACAAACGTTTCTGTCCGTTATAAACAACTACATGCAATTAAAAACAAACACTGCTGTGACGAACGTATTGACATATAGCAACAGAGAACAAGGGCCGGGGGATGCTGTGTACAGGTTTATAACAAACTCTTTATGGTTATACATCCAGGTGGACAAGCATCGCATGTTTACTGTTTGTTGTTTAACGTCACACTCAGCAATATTCCAGCAAAATGACGACGGTTTGTAAATAATCGAGTCTGGACCAGACAATCCAGTGATTGACATCAAGAGCATCGATCCTCCTGGCTAACCAGAATTCGATTATTTACAGACCGCCGTCATATAGCTGTCATATTGCTGAGTGCGGCGTTAAACAAAAACAAACAAACAAAACAGAAGTCGCGCTGGCATGTTTGTCTAATATCGACGCCTTGATTGTTTCGAACTACGGATAATTCGATTTATTTTCGATGGTTCGGGTTAAGCAAGATACACCGTATACTTTTATTATATTGAAACACTAATTCTAATACTACCACCAGCCTCAATCTGTACAATTGGAAATTCGCGGTTTATTTATGTTATGAAAGGTCTTGTGTAACCGAGATTGTTTATGAATAACACAGGTCGTTAATTGTCGTGAGGATTTATTATCAGAACACACAATCGCCCCTGTAGGTGAAACTGGAGCGGGAACTGTGTTCACCAACGCAATGTGACAGGACTTATGGTGCCTGCATCTATTTGGACGGTCTCAGATGAAAATACTACACAGAGCAGAAATTTGTTGTCCGCATGGCAAGGTGTAGTGGCTGGTGTGCTGGTTAAATGCTGGGTGTTAGTATTTGAAACAAGGCCAATCAGGCGCAAGCTATACTAAACAAAGGACCGACCCAAGCTACCTACTCTACCCCACAACCAGTAGAAGTTAAAAGAAAAGAAAACTCCACGCAGAGAACAAGTCGTTATACAGAGCTGTAGAATACAGCAGCCAAGCAGGTTTATTTAATTCAACATAATTAAAGGTTAAAACACCATTTCATTACAAAACATTATATGTATACCATGTATACAAATATATAAAATACAGAAAATATGCATATATACAACACTGCCACACACTTCCCTCCACTACGAAATGATGTCCTCATCATTTAATCCTACCAGTCACAATATCCAGGATTGCATCAGATACTCGATGTGACTGATCAGAAAAACTTGCTGTATCGAGGAGGGTGTTAAGATAATTGGCTCTCGTTAGCCAGTCCGGCTGTGCAATGGCTGACAGAACATAGTCTCCACTTGTCATCCACTGTGGTTGTGTCCGCTGTCGATTAGACCGCCGAGGTTGGGGGACAGGTGGCGTAGACCTTACACCAGAATGAGAGTTAGGATCTTCAGGATGAGTGAGTGATTCACCAGAGGGTAGTTCCTCCTGGGCATCCCCTGTGTCCTCCTCTTGATCTCCCTCAGTGACTGCAGTCATCTCATCATTCTGATTCTCTTCTACTGGTGCTGCTTCAGGTGGCCTATCAGCTGTAGAAACAGCTGACTCTGAAGATTCTGAGGATTCATGGGAGAGATATGCGATATAATCATCCTCACTTTCTGTTTCACAATCAGATCCTGGTCTGTCTGCATCAGCTTGTCAACTGGGATGGTCACAGTCGGTGCTAAAGTCCTCTGTCGTGGTCTTGCTGTTGGCGTTGGAGTTGCTGGATGTACTTTCCTTGGCCACGGTATGGGTGGCTCTTGGTTCTCAGTCTGTGGGATGGATCCAATTGGAAGTAACAAGTTCCTGTGTAATGTCCGCTTCCGTCCTTCTCCACACTCCTTACCAACTGTATACACTGGTATGGATGGATTCGGCTGGGCAAGCACAATGTACACATCGGTTTCCCATCTGTTGGCCAACTTGTGTCTACCATCAAAAGCCACTACCTTGACAAGTACTCGGTCGCCTAATGCTAGAACAGCAGCTCTAGCCTTCTGGTCATAGTACTTCTTCTGCTTACTGCGTGACTTCATAGCTGCACTGGAAGCAATGTCGTAAGCTTGACTGAGTCTTTCCCGAAGTTCCTTGGTGTACTTATTGATGGACTTGGACTTGCTTGGCTCCATGTCTAACCCAAATGCTACATCAACAGGCAACCGAGGGTGCCGCCCATACATCAGAAAGAAGGGAGACAACTCTGTAGACTCATGTCGGGTACAATTATAAGCATGGACCAGTGGTCCAACATGGGCTTTCCAATTCCTTTTGCTGTCAGGATCAAGTGTGCCGAGCATGTTGCATAAAGTACGGTTGAAGCGCTCACACATTCCATTTCCCATCGGATGGTAAGGCGTGGTCTGTGACTTGTCTATCTTGAGCAACTGACATAGTTCCTGCATGAGCTTCCCCGTGAAATTTGCTCCCTGGTCTGAGTGTATGCGTTTGGGTATTCCGTAGTGAACAATAAAGTTGTTGAAAAAGACTTCTGCTGTTGTTCTTGCAGTCATGTTCTTTGTAGGATAAGCCTGAGCATATCGGGTAAAATGATCTGTCACAACGAGAATATGTTGTTGGCCTCCTTTCGATGGTTCCAGGGTCAGGAAGTCCATGCATACAAGCTCCAAGGGTTGCGATGTTACAATGCTAACCAATGGTGATCTTCCAGCAGATGGAGTCTTTCTTCGTAGACAGGATACACAGTTCTGAACATGTGCTTCAACATCTCGAGTCATACCAGGCCAGTAAAATCTCTCACGTATCAGCGATATAGTCCTTTCCCTTCCTGGATGTCCAACATTGTCATGGAGTGATCATAATGCTGCGATGCGGCACTGAATTGGAAGAACCAACTGGTCCTGCTCTTCTCCATCTTTCATAGTAATTCGATAAAGAACTCCTCTCTTCAATCTTAGCTGCTGGTATATCTTGACAAGGGCTGTGAGATTAGCATCATCTGTAAATGGTATTCTGTCGCGGCTTGTCTTGTCCCTTAAGTGTCCAATGACAGTAGCCAGGGCTTGGTCCTTACCCTGAGCTCTCCTCCATTCTCTAACATTGGCTTCACACTTATCATCAGTGATCATCAGATTGTCATCATCATCCACATCATCATCGACTGAGACACAAAGACTCTCAATGTAGTTAGGTGTAGTGAGCGCATTGCAGATGGCTTTTACAGAGTCCACATTGACCTGGTCGAGTTGTGAGGGATCTGATGCAGTCGGAAGTCGCGAGAGAGTATCTGCATCAGTATTAGCTTTCCCAGGCCGGTACTTGATGGAGAAGTTGTAATTAGAGAGAGATGCGAGCCACCTATGACCAGTCGCATCAAGTCTTGCTGATGTTAGGACGTAGGTTAATGGGTTGTTATCCGTCATAACAACAAAGTCATTGCCATACAGGTAGTCATGGAATTTCTCTGATACTGCCCACTTCAAACACAGGAACTCAAGCTTGTGCGCAGAGTAATTCCTTTCAGATGGCTTTAATCCTCTGCTGGCATAGGCTATGACTCGCTGCTGATCGTTCTGGTGTTGATAAAGGACTGCTCCCAGTCCTTGGGTGCTTGCATCTGTGTGCAATTCAAATGGCTGGTGGAAGTCGGCATATCCTAGGACTGGCGGCATGGTAAGACGATCTTTGATTTCCTGGAAAAA